TACAGTTGGATGGATTCATGGTATCGTTTTTCTATCATAAGCCCATAAGCCATCTTGTGCAACCACTTACCCACGCAGACGCCACCGGTGCCCTCATATCCTTCGTAGCATTCGCATTTGAATCCACCGTCGGTATTGACGCATGTCGATGAAGCTGGATCGCAGTTGTGACGATTCTCGGCGCATTCATCGATGTCTACAGTGGAAAAGACGGAACTCGGATGAGATCAATCAATAGAAATGCCGAGTAACCCGCTTACCTTCACACTGTTGGGTAACGTTGTTAAAACGATAGTTGGGTTCACATTCGCAAACACTGCCCAAGGATCCGTCGAACAACCGAACGGACAGGCATGCGGTGTGTTCTGTTCGGCCACAAGTTCGCTGCATATCTTTGCAGCCGTGTTCCAGAGGATTTATGCATTTGCTCACTCCATCTCCTGCAATGGCGAAATTGGCTACAGTATCCGGTACAGTAACCCTCTCACAAGTTACCTTCAAATCCGTCCGGACATTTGCATTCAAAGGATCCTGGCTTATTGTGGCATTCAGCTTGCGGGTGACATGGCATCATTCGGCATTCGTCTTCGTCTGAAATGAGTGAACGATCGTTTGGATGTATGCCAAAGTATCTAGTTACAGTATCAACCGTCCCTCAAGCCGAGTCGGGGGGTTGGCGGGACCTGTTCGGGGATATCTTGGAGGGGTTTAGCGATATGGCATCGTGTTTTTGGAAGAAATTTAAAGAGGAAGTTTCTTGAGAAGTGTTAAAAGCTCCCAGAAAGTTGAGGAAATTCTAAAACTCCAGCAATTCCCTTACTCAGACGAAATTCTGCAGGTTCGGAAAGGTGGGAGTGGGGTGGGCGAATTGTAAAGTTGAACAGTGTTCAACAACGCTGTCAATATCCTCCCTCCCAACCAGACGGTGAAAGGGGGGGGGGTGGGGTCGTGATAATGACAATCAGCTGAATGCACAGTTGATTATGCTCCCAAGATACTTCGACTCACCATCACACATGTATCCATCGCCACGGAATCCCTTCTTACATTGACAGGCGTATGTTCCCATCAAGTTGTTGCAAACGGCGTTCTTGTCGCACATGTTCAAGCCAGGCTTGGCGCACTCATTGATGTCTGAAAGAAGTTTTTCAGGCTGTATCTACCACTTGAGGCATTAGTAGACTTACCAACGCATTCTCCGTTTTTCATCTCGAATCCCATTTTGCACATGTCGCAGTCTTTCTTGCCACTGCCATCAACCGTACACATATGGTTCCTGCCACAATTGGCCTCAGCCCATTCAGCTTCGGTACAACCGCGTTTCTCCACTGGCATGCACTTGTAGCCATCTCCGACAAATCCTGGAAGAAATTTTTTTCGGAGGATCGGGAGAAAGCGAACAAGCACCTCCGCGACGTTATTAGGAACTGGAAAGCTTTAAGAGAAGTTTTCACTAACCGTCATTGCATTTGCATCCGTACGATCCTTCCTTATTGACGCAAGTCGCGTTTCCACTACAACAACCTCCGTGGGATTCTGCACACTCATCGATATCTGAACGGCATTGAGTGTGATCCTTTTAGGAGAATGTGAAAAAAAAACAGATAGCTCAAGTATGAGCAGAGGAGGGAGTAATGGCGTCCCCTTTAGCCTACCACTAGCGTCGGTAGAGGTATGGTCAAGGGCCACGGTAACAAAAGGAAGCATTTAGTGCGGTCCAGCAGACGCAATATTTTAAGCGTTTTCTATTACTATTCTTCTGAGAGCATATTTGACATTCTGTCTCAAGGAAGTTGTCGGATGAAACCCATTTTGCTTCCTATGAGCACCAGTAGATTTCACCAGAAGGATCGGGTTGAAAAAACTGAAGAACCCTATTGGAAGCAGAGTCAACCCTGCGTTGCGCAGTTCGCAACGGCACGTTGAGAGATCCTCAACGCACGCTGTATGGGCGGAGACGCAGACGGCTCGAGCATGCGAGTGTGAATGTTCGCGCGAGAGAACGTGTCTAATCGGGCGAAACTGCGCAACGTGGCCGTTGAGAACTGCGCAACGCAGGGTTGACTCTGATGTAATAAATAAGCTAAGGCGTAGCTTGCTAACTCTACGTATTATAGCAGATGAACTAAAAAGCAGTTTCTTTAATAAGCCAGGATCTTAAAATGTAATGACGCTCTGTACTATGTTATTTTTACCTTTAAAGAAATACCTCTAGATCTATGTCGTCGCAGTAGGTAAACACGAATGCCTGTCGTTAAAAGTCAGCCTTTGGGTCTTTTACTCACTTTAGAGCGTTTTTAGTTAGCTCCCAAAATACGACTTCACGAAGTTATTACGTCCTTGACTTAATTTTCTTTGCCCCATAGCTGGTAGAAACCTCCATGTTATGGGTGCGTGCAAATTGTGGATCTGAATGTCTTGATGTTTATTCATTCTATTACGTTTTCTTCTGAAAATCGTTGGTCTTGGTTTACTTCCACTGAATGATAACTAGAACAGTACGTAATAATCCGAATACTCTTATATCTTACAGATTCGAAGAATCAGACAGAGACAGTCAGATCAAGCGACTCTGAGATATGCATATTTCTTGAGACACATATCATATAGTTTCGTTCTGTTTGAGCTGTTAAATTTCTTCTTTTTTTTATTCTCTTTCAATCTAAGAAATTTTCGACAACTTTTCTCATCGAATTTTTTGTCTGCATTCTCTGGCTGCACACGTGGAAACATCTAGGAGAATCACCACGATACGCCTTGGTCATTTCCTATAGCCCATTGGCGAAGCACCGTTTCCGACCAAGTATTGTGACATATAGGCACCGGCGATTTATGAAAGGACCCGGTTGCGATTCATCCAAGCTAAATATTTTGATAAATTTTTATAAAGCGCTAACTTGTGTGTGTATGTGTGTGTATGTGTGTGTGTGTGTGTGTATGTATGTATGTGTGTCCGTCCGCAAAATGAAGTGAGTGAGAAGGAAGCTCATGGGATAAACAAACCGCTAACAAATCGGGTAGCTTACAGGATTTGAGATATCAATGTTTTGTAGCAGGATAGTTGTGATAACACTCTTAGGGCTATATAAACACCTGCTTAGCACACTTCCGTTCATTCCACATGGTGCTGCAGTGGCAGCTGGAGGGCAGTGGAGAGAGGAAGGGAGGATGAGGAAGGGAAGCGAAAAATCTACCGTCATATCATGATTGTGTCCCTTCTACTGTATGAAACACCATTGTGTTGCATACGCGTCACTTCCAGGTGTTGGTGTCACAGGAGGAAGGGACCATAGCGGAGGATAGAAAGCTTGCGCAGGAAAGGAAGGTCCCGGCGGTTGACGGGGGACTAATCTGGTTATAAATAGAAAGCACATTCTTTAGTGGCATAATGACCATCACTATAAAAAGGTAAAGCGCTTGATGTTGGTCCATTCACTTTCATGATGCGCCACGCACTCGACTACCATCTATACTTATGCTGGCGTTCCAGCTTGGCATAATCAGTAAACTTCTGAACAACCTATGCACTAATCAATTTTTCGTCCACTCATTAGGGTAGGTTACTATGTAGTGGTCGGTAACTAGGACAGAGGGTCTGGTTCACCCGTGCGAAAATCGATCCGTGGATCACCTGCACAGCACCAACGCCCCCCCCCCCTTCAGGGTAGCACTACTTGAACTGATATCTCAACCACCTGAAGTCAGCAAATGGTAATCATCTGTGGCAGAAGTTCATGGATTAGTGGTACTACTTTTTAAGGCACAGTTAACAAGGGTGAAGGGTTATTTTGCTCGAGAACGAACTAGATGTGATGTTTGGTCGACTAGTAATAAAGAGAGCAAACAGAACAAACAGAATTGCAGAGAGCCTGAAAAGTACCTTACACGCTAATCGTATGGGCGAATTTTATGGCCATCTTTCCAATCGACCCCTCCTATTTATTTCATCCTATTGCAAGAAAAGGTCGGCGGCTAGCAGAACGGTCCCAATTTCAACCAAAAGATCAGCGTTGAACTAGCTCATAGATTTTACAGAGCACCATAACCCTACAGGAAATTGCGGAATGTGCCTTTGAGAAGCTACGTGAAGTTCTAGAGCAATTAGAATCATGAATTGAAGATTGGAATTTCTCGTGAGCTTAGGGTATTCCCGGCTGTAAAGAAGAAGTTAAGGTGTCAGCTGTTCCAAGAGAGTGGTGTGTAGTGTTTGTGCCTACCTTTACATTCTCTCGTAGGAGGCGCTCCTTCGAATCCTGGATAACAGCGGCATGCACCAGTCCTTCTTTCGCAATACGCGTCGTCTCCACACTGGTCACTGCTCGTGCACTTGGTTGTATTGCTGAAATATTTACACCATTCAAGATTCTTTGAATCTGATTAGCTCGCTATAAGCGTCTCAATTGAAAAGCAGTGGTAACGATGACTGGAGCGCGGTGCGGTTTTGATGGCGTCATTAAGCGTCATTGGCGGAAGGATGTTCAGAAGCGGTCCCAAACCCAATCCCTAAACGAGTTGATGGATCTAGCCCGCTGATGAGCGCCGAAAATCGCGCAGCTCTCCAGCCAGCATAATCATTGCCTTTACCTACTAGCACCACTGAGCTACACTGCTTAGAAAATCTGCAAGGCCACGAGTTTACCGAGTCTCGTGGTTCTTGTGGTGCTTGTATCGTTCTTACGCCGGTGCAAGACTTTGTGCAT